CTAAAGGCTTAGGATTAGAGCCAGATTTTAGGAATATAATACTTCCAAGTTTCAAACTTAATTCTTTCAAATATATCATTTGAAAAAATTTATTCTCACAATTAAATATCTTAGAAAGTATTGACCATATATTTACCCTTTTAAAAATTTATTTATGTCTTGTAATTTACATTTCTAAAATTCATCCTTTAAAATCCTTTAATACTCATGTTCCCCTAGACCCCATGGTGTTTATTTTGATTTTTCTCTTTGAGTGATCTCAGCTGCTTCCAATACTTCAACTATTACAATTTTTCAGCCAAGTAGAGAGCATTTTGAATTCTTTATGCCTAGAATTCTCTTCGTTTTTGTCAGAAGAATAAGACTTCTACCTCATCATGTTTGCCACGGTTCTTTATATTTTGAATTTAGTTTTAATAGTGTGTTTGTTACACGACATAGTTAGTTCCCACTTGGGGGACTGATACACACATGTAGCATCCTGTACATTTTTCTCCTCCTTGCTACCTCACTCCTTCATCTGCTTTTTTGCGCAGATCCCCTTTCTGTCCACACAGTCTGCCTCCCTGTTTCTTAATGTGTCTGTTATATTTCCTCTTTGAGTTATTTATATTTTGAGTTTCTCACAAGGGAGACCAGTAATATTTAACCATCTGTGACTGTGTTATTTCCGTTAGCACTGTGTTCTTAAATCCATCCATTTCCCTAAAAATGAGTCACATTCTCTTGCTCCATGGCTTAGTATTACTCCATTGTACGAATATACCATGTTTTCTTAATCCATGCATCTTTTGATGGACACACAAGCCATTTCTATTACTTAACTATTGGGAATTGTGTTGCTTTAATAAGCATAGTTATACATTATCTCTATAATGTGATGATTTCACTTCTTCAGGAAGATACTTAGACAAGGCATGGCTGGGTCAAATGGAATTTCTGTTTTTCAGTGTTTGAGGAATCCTCTGTACTGATTTCCATATTGGTTGTACTAGTTCACATTCCCACTAGTAATGTAGAAAGGTTACTTTTTCTCCACAATCTCCCTAGCATTTCTTTCTTCATTCCTCCATGATAGCCTCTCTTACTGGGGTCTAAATAGAAGCTAGTGTTACTTTGACTTGTGTTTCTCTACTGGGCAAGGATGCTGAATATTGCTTTCTGTGCTCTGGTCTGTTCACATGTTCATTTGCACTCTAGTTCAGCTCTCGGAGAGTGCAACCCATGTTCTACATATCTGAGGAGCCCCATAATAGGTTATATATCAGAAACAGAATATATTTAATACATATTAATAATTTGCCTTAAAACATCCGTCAGATGCTAATTTACCTGTGAAATCTTCAACTTACTTCTTTTAGGAAAGACTTAATAGTCACTTGCATAAAGATAACTTGTAATAGCTTAATTCTGAAAAGGAAGCAAAGAAGATGAGCGTTGAGCGTCACTCTGTGGGGTGGAATCAAGATTTCGAATGCCCTGACACTTCTTTCTTCCTGTTTGCTTCAGTTTTTACAAGGCTTCCTCCATATAGCTTAATATGATCTCACAACACCCACAATAGCTGTGCCCAAAACTCATTTCAGTGAGAGATATAAATCACTCTCATTTGTTCCAACTGGAAAAAATAATGCGAAGCAAACAGGTTAATGGTTCCATCTCTCCTCAGGTGTCTACTCAGAAGCAACTATTTGGATGCCTGAGTGCTGCGTGGAAACTCTCATTTAGATCATGAAGAAAAGCTTGTATTTTAAAGAATAAGGTGGTGCTAAAAGAAGAGTGCCAGAAGTTTAAAAATAGTATTTGTATTGATCTTACCTCTCAAATGTAATAGTTTCTTTCTTTTGAGTTCATGGAGCAGTTCCATTTTCCTTTATTAAATCAGTAGTCATGTTGCTTTGTAATTGTTCCTTTACATGAATATCTTGATTCTATATCCCTTACAGTCAACTATATATGCCATGTCATTTGATTTTCCTTGATTTAATACACACAAAATTGGATTCATTATTATAGAATAAAGAGTTATCTAAGCAGGGCCTGTATTACCCAAGCCTTGCCTGTTCCAAATATAGGCCTATCTTCAGAACTGAACCCGTGTAATTTCTGAAATATAACCTCTGAGCTTCTGAACTATTTTGCTATTTAAGGGTATTTTTGTAGCCTGAGATCTCAGGCCATGCTGTATCACTTTCCATGCCAGGGACTTGAAAACCAAACAGCGAAGGCTGCTCGGACTCACAGTGTCTGTCTATGTGACAGATCCCTTAAGCAGGCTGCCAAGTACCAGGCGTGTCACCCTACGGGACAGTGCATCTCACATGCGAGTGCACATTGCTATTAGGAAAACTAAACACATCTTACTGCATTTCTATTGGAGAGGGTCGCCTGGACATTTTTGCCGAAATCTGCCCAGACACCATGTGGTCTTCTTACATTTCATGTACATCCTGTCTCTTTGAAAAACCATCACTATCAGTATATCAGCTTTTCCAACCCTTCCAACAAGTCACTAACAAAATTGTAACCATTTATCAATCTGGCATTTTCATTAATTGGTCCACAGTTTTATTTGTTTCGCTCTGGTTTTTCTTATTCTGATTTTTTAATTTCTAATTTCAAAATTCTCACTTTTAAATAAGCGTTTCATTTTATGATAGTCATGGGTACGCGGGACACAGCCCTCAGCCACCTTTCCCTGCTGCGAGCTCCCTACATCACCACTCTACGTTTGTCACAATAATTGGTGCACTAGTGTGACACTATATTAAGAATTTACATGTTTTATTTTTTTTCTAATGCTCTTTTCCTGCACCAGGATCTCACCCAATGTATCACATTCTATAAAAATCATTCTATTGCTCTAGCTTTCTCTAATCCATTCCAATTTTTTGCACTTCTCCTATCCTGATGACCTTGATTGTGCTAAGAAATACTGTTCAGGATTTTGAACAATAATCCTTAATATGAACTGAATTGTGCATATGATTCTCTCAGTCTCTTATCCCCATGTTTTCTACAGTGCACCTGTTAGACAATGTTAAGTGGTGAACGTGTGAGCCTAGCTCCGCTTTGTGATTTTGGTACAGACAGTTATGCTCTTAAGCAGTGTGAATGCTTTGCTGTCTGCTGCAGGTTGAAGAGACATATTGCATAGGGAGTACTGCTGAGATAATGAGTGTACATGACTTAAGAGGAATGCCATCACGTCTTCCATGAGAACTTGCAGATGTGTATATACATTCTGATGTAAAGTATTGATTTATATGCCAAGTTAAATAAAATTCACATAAGCAGGGAAAGATATGGAAGAATCAACTAATGGCTGCAATAATAAGATGGTATAAAAGTAAAACAAATAGTTGATAGAAGGTATATTATTATATTCTTTTAATTGATAGACAAAGATGATTTTATGATATTATACTATAATTTATTTTTTCCAGAGGAGTGAATTGGTAGAACCCATTCTTCAGAAATTTAGTGTAAATAGCTATAGAAAGATAAAATATTGGTAATGAGTTTTTTAATTACTACATTAGAAATGTTTCTTATTCCTTATCTCTTAAAATTAGTCCATTAATAGTATGCAAGTGCCTCATTCAATTGGGCTAAAATAAATGCAGATTTTTAAAAATGAATAAGCTGGTGTACTCATATAAGGGAAATCATTTGATGTTTAAACTTGTGTGTATGACTTATTTCACTTAGTAATATATTTTCAAGATGCATCCACTTACCTACTTATCTACAAATGCCTCAAATTTAAATTTCTTTATGGTAGTGTAGTACTCCATTGTATGTGAATAACCCTTTTTTCCTTGTTCATTTATCTTGTGATGGACATATATATCATTTTCAAAATTTAGCTATTATAAATTGTGCTTCTATTAACAAGGGTATACATGTATCCCTGTAATATAATAATTTTAACTCTTTTGCAAAGATACCTAGAAGAGGTATAATAGAATTTCTATTTTTACTTTTTGAGGAATCCGATTTCCGTAGAAGTAGTACTAGTTTACATTCCCACTGACAATGTAAAGATAGTAATACAGAGTGGAATAACTACTGCTATTCTTTTATTGTTTGATTCTGACTTTTATTTTTTCATAAAAAAAGAATAAGATGAATTCAAGAAGTAGTTGTGCAATTTCTGATAACAACAGGAAAGAATTCAGAAGTAAAATCTGTTTTAAAAGAGCTGAAGAGATTGCATGCAATGTCTACGCCCGAACTTTACATGTTAGAAAGTAGTACTTCACGTACTGTGGGATACGTGAGATGAAAAAACCCTCGCACTAACCTGTTTGATATTGCATGAGAGCGAAACCGCCTTGCAGCCTTAAAGTAATAGACGATTCTAAATTATTATTTCAATTTTATTCAGTTCAAAGTATTACCTGCAGGGTATTTTTCTAGATGCTTAGGAAGGGCAGAGGTAAATAAACGGGCAAGACCTGTGTTAGCAGGATACTCGTCCTAAGAAGATGACACACCACACGCTGTGTGTGCCTTGGTTACTTCCTCACTGCTAAGACTCCGTACACGGCCCCCACAGAGGAAAGAGGGAAAGACCTAACTTGGCTCACACTTTGTGAAAGTTTCACTTCCTGCTCCATGCGCTCTAAGCTGCACAAGAGTGGCAGAGGGTCCTGGCGGAAAACAAGTACTTCTACCACATAAGGCGAGGAAGCATCAAGGCGCAGGCAGGCAGACATTTACTCCAGGTGCTACCCTCGGCGACGCTCCTCCCTTCGGGCTTTACCTCCCAGCGTCTCCTTAGCTATACTTCGGCAAGGAACTAAGGCACTGATCAGTACCACACTCCCATGATCCGGGTGTCTCCCCAAAGCCCCACAGTGAGTACGTGAAGCTTGGGGGCCATCTAGATGCAAACCACAACATTGTGTGCAATTTATAATGTCAAATCTAATTGGTGCGGTACAAAAGACTAGCGAGGATAATCGCATATACGTGGCCTGTTTATTATTCCATAGGTCAAGGATGCCTTCTAGAACTGTGGCGATTTAACCAGGGAAGACATTTGGACAAGATGGGACAGTGGAGATTTCAAGAAAACAGCACAAAAGCACTCATAAACCCGGAATAAAGACAAGTATGTTTGGGAAAGAAAAATATTGCTATCCTGTTATTGTACTGACTTGTGTGTGTGATTACAGATGCCATAGAGTGGGGCAAGGCTGTACAGGTGTGGAAATTTTGTGCGGAAATTTTGTGAGGAATGTATACATTATTCTGTACATCCTTGAAAAGTACAAGTCCAGCACACTTGCTGTATCCCTACATGTTGACAGGCATATCTTATCTCAGACTGCATGATTTCCTTCAGCGACTGCAGTATATTTATTAAATTCCTAAGATTTCTTCTTAGTTAAATGACAGTTTATTGATATTTCCCTCCTATCTCTTATTCTAAAATCTTTCAAATTATGTGTTACCCTTCCCTGAGCCAACTATTTGTATATTGCTATATGACCAATGGTAAAACACTTTTCAATATTCTAAAGAAATGTTATCTTTTGCTGAGAAATGACGATATTTAATATTACTCATTCTTATTTTTCTCAACAATAATTTACATCAAATTAAAACTATGGTGATAGACTGGGCCTAGTTTTAAACTAAAATCAAAATCAGAGACCTCATTATTAAAGCAGAAACACTAACTCTGCTGCAAGAGAGAACAGGCAGAACTCTTGAAGACAAGGGTGTACACAAATATTTCATAAACAAAGCCCAATCACAGAGGAAATACTACAAAGAATCAATACCAAAGAATCAATAAGATCTCATCTTATTAAAAAGCTTTCACACAACCAAAGAAATAACCAATAGAGTGAAAAGACAACCCATAAAGTTGGAAAAAAAATTTACTCAGTTGTCTTTCAGACAAAGGACTTATATCTAGAACATATAAAGGACTGAAAAAAATCAGATCCCCCACATTTAAGGACCCACTCCAAAAATGAGCATCTGAGATGAATACACACCGTCTCCCTGGTGTGAGAAACTGAAAGAGCAAACAAGGACCAAAGGTACACTAGATATTGTGAAATGGGAAGAAATTACTCAAAAGGAAAATAAGATCTAGGGTGGTGGAAGGGGAAAAGAAAAGAAGAGAAAAGGAAAAAACAAATAAAAAAGGTAAAATGGAAACAAAGCTTTGTAAATAGGGAGGGGAAGATGAGCTGAAGGGAGGAAGGGGCCTGGGGCAAAGAGAGACACCGGAGTGTATCTTGTACCGGTGCACATTCCCTATGCTGCATATGAGGATTCTTTTACAACTACAATGTACCAATAAACTAAAGTAGAAAAAAAGTCAAAGCCATGATTTTATAAATAGCAGGAATTACCACAACTTTGCCTTTCCTTTTTGTACAGAGTGAATCAGGGTTGTATTGAAGTAGTAACTTTGTTTGAATTCTGTTTAGCGTTAGGATCTTTTGTCAGTACTTTGGTCATCGCCAAAGATTTTGTTGTTAGAAAATAAAATAGAGTATATAACGTGCCACACTTGTCATTGCTGATAAGTTCAGGCCCTTTGGCATGAAATGGACCATTTGTTATACTACCTCTTAATACAAATGTTAAATCCTTAAGGAAAAAAGTATTTTGAGTGGTTTGTTAATTAACACGAGATGCTAACCAGTACAAAACACCAAGTAAACCAAGTAAACAAAGTTCCAAAAGAACTTTTCTTTTTAGAAATCTAGGTAAAAATCTGATATAGAAATTTTGTGAGTCCAGAAACCTACAGGTGATTCCACATCACCCTCTACAGAGCAATTATCTGTACCTTAATGGTTGAAATCTGTACAGCATATTTCTTTGTCCACTGTATTTGCATCTTCACTAGGTTTACATTTTGTTCTCTTAGGAAAACACTTGCTGTAGGGTCTACAGCAAAGGGAAGCAACATGAGTCAACTTTTCATTAGGAATAGCACTTTGGTGGGGTGATAAAAGCAGGAGAATGGATTAGTCCACAAGTTCAGAAATAAAATTTTCCGTGCAATGAGGTGATGCAGAAATAACACAGGAAAAACATGGAATTATTGTTTTGTCCAATAGTGGGTTCAGAGGACCTTGTATTATAGTAATTGAACACACTACAATAAATTTGTTTGAAAATAGAATGATAAATTTTCCTCAAACTCTAATACAGACATTAAAATCTCAGGCTTCAAATAACATCTCTTTGGGATCCTACTGACTATATCATTGAATCAATGCCTATTATTTCTAGATGGAGCACACTCTTCCATATAGTATCTAGAATTTTTCCCCTCAGGGTTATTTTGAATTTATCTATAATGAAAATAGCCTCTTTAAGATGTTAAGATGTGAATGGTTTTCTCAATGTAGTCTTGACAATGCTTTTTAAGAGTATGCAGAATCTTTTGTGTGAACACATACAGGTCTGTAATAAACCTAGATACTCATGCATCACCTTATATTATCTCATCCAAGGGAACAAAGTCAGTTTACTGCTTCCACCTTTCCACCAGAATGTTCCACCAAGAGGAGCTATAAACAGCACACTGAATCACAGACGCTAAGAGAAGTCTTCCGGCAGGATACACTTTAGTAATATTCATCTAAATTGAATTTCTCCTAATGAAGAAGTTGCCTACATTTTTCTCAAGAACTCTGACACATTTAAATATTACTCTGTGCACCAGTTTTGTGTGGGTCATGAGTCCTCAAAGATATTTTCATCAGCTCTTACTCAAACACCGATGAAGAGCGTGACTACTGACGAAGCCGAACGAGTTAAGCCGCCCAGGTTGGTCATCACAAGATAATGATGATGATTACTTGAGAACTTATTACAAGCACTGTGGCCATATGTGGTTATATTTCTTTAATGCTACCCTTGTTTTGGCTTTAATATCTATTCATAAGTGCATCATTAGCATTCAGAAGGAATTTTTAAAAAGACAATGACAGCAAAATAACCTTTTAAATGACTGCTGTTATATTTCTAAGGAATGATTCACTGGCAATAAAGCTTTAAAAACATACTGCACTGTATGTCATAGCGAATATGGACTTCTGCATTAGCAAGCTCCAAGAAAATGCTCCCTAGGCATGCGGACTTCACCGGACAAGGAACCCAAGCTCGTTACCGCAAAAGTAATCAATAAGCTCTGCTAATGTGTTCAGCTGGCGACACAGACCTGATCAATAAAATCTGCCACATGCTTTTGTTTTAGGAAATGAAACCTCTTAGTTCTTAATTAAAGGAGGGAACTCACATCCGTAATGAGGTTTGCAATGAATATTACCGCAGAGAACATGGGAATAAATTTGAGTTTTTCATTAAAGAGCTGCACAAGGAAGGAGGAAAACAAGGGTTTAAAAATAGGGGTACCTGCTTACTACTTCCTTAGGCTTTTACCATGAAAACAAAGAAAACTGTGTTCACCTTTAGGAGAAAGAATGCCAAAGATTCTGTTTTACAAGGACAATGCCTAAAGAAAAAATAATTTACTCAACAAATTTCTATATAGTAACAAATAAGGTAGCACCTTTGAAGACGAGACTGGAATTAACTGCCTGGAGAACTTACAAAGGAGGACTCAGAGAAGTGGAAGACATTGCAGAAACGTATGGATATTTTCCATAGCCTGACTTTACACTGTAACCTTCCACATTTAATTAAATATTTTATATCATTTAGTGTTAAAGGATTAGGACATTTCTCATATTACTATAAAAATATCACTAAGGGTATTAACAGTGGTGGCACCCCCCCCAAGTTGTGTTACAGAGAAAGATAGTTTACAAGCTTTTCTATTTATGCACAGTGAAAATAGTGAAATAATATTGATTCAATACCTGACCCCGAGGGCCAGAGATATAGCTCAGGGACACTGTGCCTGCTTGCTCAGTGCAAGATCCTGAGTTTGATTCCCGGTTCCAAAGAAAACCAAAAAATTACCCAACCCTGAGGTATTTCTGATTATGAGCTGAAAGAACAATGCTTTATCAGGAATGTGGCAAAATTTTTATTTCTTCTTAAAAAAGCTCTTGTATTATGAAATATATATAATCAAATTGCTTTGTAAAGATAACGTAACAAGTTAGAGGATTTAGTTCTGTGAGTCATTATCTGATATTTCTTCCATAATGTTTCCCTATATTTATTGATTGATTCCAGCTGGCAATGACACACTTATTTGAATTAGGATATTTTCATTTCTTAATTTATCCATCAGATGTAAATTTCTGACTTGGGTGTTTATATATAAGTACTATTGCCCTGGATGTGGCAAAAATGTGGTTATCTGTAAATTATTTCTAACTTTGGCCTATTTGCAATGTAAGTATGTTCTCTGATTTCAAATAAGATAAAATCTTATACAGATCGAAATAACCTTTGTTTCTCAAATGTCTTTTCTTTTTCTGATGATTTAGATCACACACTTCTTCTGAAATATTTATCTTTTTATCTCCTTAAAGATGAGGACAGATGTTTCAAGTGTTTGCTGTTGCTTCAAAAAAGTTTCAGAGGCCTTACATGTTCTCTCTGCACACGCCCTGCTTTGCTTATACCGCTGTATTTTTAAGCTCATTGACCACTCCAGATTTATTGCTCAGCTAGGTACATAATCACCACAGGCCCCACAGGAAGGAAACTCTTGCCAAAAGGAAATAAAGCACTGTAGCCTGTGAGAACCTCAAGCCAGAAAATAGCACTTACAGCGCTGCACGTTTACACAGCTCTACGTACAGGAATCGGACACTATTGATGATAAAAAATACCTATTAAGACAAATTATGACTCCCACATTCATTCACCTTTAAATAATAATGACAATGTCTCTCTGATATGCTTTGCAGAGCGTGTGTGCGCACAAAGGGAGGGTATGGGGACGGGAAGGAGGAGACGAGGGAGCGATCGAAGGGGATCCTGAGCGGCCGCGCTGCACACGGGGCTCTTCTGAACTGTTGCATGCGAGCCGCTTGCTGATTGGTTTACCGCGTTTCCTTCAGAGGACACTGTTTGTGCGAGGCTTTACAGTAACCACGTTACACATTTCAACTCATCTTTAATTTTAAGTCTATGATAAATTCATTGTTTTCGCTAGCTTAAGTCTACCAACAGGGACTCTTGAAATCAAAACTTTTTGTTTTTTTTTTCCGGTACTGGGTATCGAACTCATGACTTCGCATTTGCCAAGCAGGCGCTATGCCGCTGAGCTAAATGGCCAGTCCCTGAAATTAAAACTTTTAAAAGAATTTCCATGGCACCTATAAAAGAAAAATACTGGGTTTTAAACATAGAATTCTCCGATGTGGGAAATCCTCTATGCAATGCATTACAGCTTGCCATTTCTTTCTTTCTCTTTTCTTTTCTTTCCCTTCCTTCGCTCCCTTGCTCCTCCCTCCTTTCTTCCTTCTTTCCTCCATCTTCCTTTTTTTCTTCTCTCTTTTTTTCTCTTCTCTTCTCTCTTCTCTCCTCTTCTTTCTCTCCTCTTCTTTCTCCCCTCCCCTTCCCACCCCTCCTCTCCTCTTCAATTTCTTTTTTTTTCCTTTCTTGTTTTTGACAGCACAGTAGTTACTCAAGAATTGAAGAGAACCTGAAAAACCACTTACCCCTTAACTTACTTCTTACTCAAGTTGCAAAGGAAAATTTGTAATTATTTAGTAAGATAAAAACCTGAGTTCAAACAAAAACAGCACATACTCGTTTTAGATTTCTTGGGCTAGGGATATAGCTCAGTGGCACAGCACCTGCCTGGCAAGCTTGAGCTAGTGAGTTTGATTCCTGGTACCCGCCCCCCCCAAAAAAAACCACCAACAGATTTCTGTACTGCTTTTTTGTTATTGTTTGCTTGAACTATTCTTATTCATTTTTTCTCTTAATTGTATACATCTATTGCTTCTCAATGTCTTACAATACTTCAACATATTCTCACATATGCTGATACAGACTGTTCAAATATCTACTTGATTAATGCTTTTCTTCTTTACTGCAGATTGAGCCCAGGATTTTCCTCATGTTAGGCAAGCATTTTACTGCTGAAAAATATCACCAGGTCTGTATTACTGAAAATACACTATAATGGCTACATTTAAATGACTTGTCACAAAACACACAGGATGGAAAATAATGTTTAACCTATAGTCAGTGAACATTTATTCATCTGAAAAAACAAGTGTTTAATAGCCAATGATAGTTACTAAGAAGTAACTTATTTAAGTAAGAATTGTAAGTTATCTTTTTCTTCTTTGTTTCTTTTTTTCTGTTTTTTTTTTTTTTTTCCGGTACTGGGAATCAAACTCATGACCTCAGCTTTGCCAGACAGGCACTGTGCCACTGAGATAAATTCCCAGCCCAGAAAGTTGTGTTTTTAAATCTCCTTTAAAAACAAAACAAAACAAAACAAAAACAACACATGCATAAAACGAAAGGAGGCTGAAGTTGGTGCACTCCCTTGTTCTCTCTCTGACCTGCTTCCTTGTACCCTCCCCGTGCAAAAGGGCGGTGTTTTTCTGGCCCCCAACAGTTCTCTGTGTCCAGAGCTGGGAGTGTAGTCCTTACCTGATCACAGAACATGGATGTTTAGGAAACTTTGGACTGTATTTTTATCTGTCGGCACAAATAATATAAATATGACGTAAACTATTTTTAAATAAATCATGCATGGGAGTAGACAGAAATTAATCCTTCTTTAGTAGAGTATCTATCAACCTGCAACCTTGTAATTGGAACCTTGGTAGACCTTAGAATAAAGGATGATTTTATAGTGCTCTCAGTACAGCAGGTTCTGAGTATTTGTTTAATTAGGGAATCTTATAAAAGAATATTATACTACTGATATGTCTTTTTTCTTTTTTCCTCCCAATAGCTTACTTGAGATCCCTCAGCCACAGATTGTTGTAATTTGAGGGTTAATTCTGTGATGTAGTTTTCAAACCGTTTGTCTATAGTATCTTAAATAAGCAAATAGGATAATAGTATCCATGCAAATATTGCTAAAGTATGTGAACAAAGTAACATTAGACACATAAAATGTATTTTGTAACTTAAAGTCATAGGGCAGTATCATAGGATGAGTTAGGGGAAACTTTAAAGAGGAAAAGGACCAAATAAAGGAAAAAGTAGTTCATTTGAGTGACAGAACAAGTGAGCATTTTTGTTTCTTATTAAATTAACTAACTAATCAAGTTTCCTTGTAACAGATGCAATACACTGAGGCTTACAAAATGTTGCTTTTCTAAGGCTAAACAGAAGTAAATAAAAGCTGGTAAGGAGCAGAGCAGGAATATTGACAAAATTTATTTAAATCCAAAGATCATTTCCTTTTCATCAGTGAGAGCAACGTGCACCCTTCCCAAAAGTCTCAACAAACACACCTTTCACTTTACTAGAAGTTTAAGAGAATAAGTCCCTAAATAATGTTTCATAAAAGACAGGAACAGGTTTAGGAAAGGATCTAATTTGTGTGTGTGCAGTCCCAGATTCTTTTAGTCATGCATTAAAGATGTTTTCTTTCACTTTATAAAATTTAACGTGAAACTCATGGATATCTAAAGTTTGCATTTTATAGATTTTTTTCCCTGCAGAATTATAGAACGAGCAGCAAAGAACAACAGATCATTAGGAAATCAAGGAGTGATATTTTGTGGCCAGCAGCAAAATTCTTAGCAGCTGGTACTTGAAACCTGTATGTTTCACCCAATTTGCAGCCACGTTAATATGAAACACCTTTTATATTGCCATTGTAACCTTCTAAGGAAAATATCATAAACAAAACCTACACATGTTGTAAATAACTGATAAAATACGTTTAATCGCTCTTTCATTTTTAAGTTTGAGTTCACCAGACACCTAGAAATATTCAAGAGGAATAAGAGAACACCCATGACGTTAGTTTTAATTATATATCACTTAGGACATATTGATCTCAAATATATTCTAGTTCAAAAGAAAACTGCATGTAGAAAAATGTAACCATCAAATTAGGAAATCATTGTTTATATTACATAGAATTTTTAGCTTTAACCATGGGTAGCTCTAATTCATTCTGAAACGTTGAAAACCTAATTCAACTAATGAAAATTTACTTTCCTCTAAAATTATGAGACCAATCTCTGTACACTTGTTTTCTCAGATCCTGTTTTTTAACTAAATATCACAATGAGAAAAATACCATCCGACTTACAGATAATCCCCACACATAGGCTCCTTACAATCCCCTTTCCAGTTCTTAATTCTAGTGTCTAACTTCCCTCCTCCCTCAAGCTGTCTTTTCATTCTGGTTCTTGCCTTCGGGCCACACATTCTTAGTCTTTTCATAAAATTTGTTCCTTCTGGCAGAGGGAGTGTCAGGCTCCAAATGGTCGTCAAGTAGGGCCAGCAATGGCTGTGTTGGACTCTCCTCACTGGAGTCCATTAGATCCATCCTCCAGAGAGGATCAGCAGGACTTCTACTCAAGCCCCCTTAGACCTGCTCTCTGGAGAAAGTCGCTCACCGCCTCTTCCCTGACGCCCCTCTCAGCATGAAGCAGCTGGTCATCTTCACCCAGTCTCTCTTAATGGCAGATAAGAACTCTTCTTCAGAGCAGGGAAATGTAGAAAGGAGTTCACTTGGTCAGCTTATGAGTGAGGCAGCTACCTAGAGGAAGGGTCTGAGGTAAGAGTGGGATGACCAGCTATAATGATACACCTAAATGAATGATCCTCAGGGAACCTAGACTGAGGGCCCTCCCTCTTAAAAAAGGCATCACCTCTGCAGTCCTGAATTTTGAGAAATTTAAAATATAATAAACTTCCTTTAGTATGAATCAGCCACCCCCTCCTTAGGGTATCTGGGGTTACTGCAAGGGAAAATAACTAGTTCTTTCCAAGATCTCCTTTTACTGTAAGGATTATGTAAAGGAACTAGGCTATAGAGCATGGATTCCAATTAATCATTTTTTTTTCACTTCACAGAGATACCAATTCTTGTGCCCTGCTTACCATAAGTAATTCTAAACTGAGGGGCCACGTGGCCACCCAGTTTGTCCTGGAAATCTTGGAGCTATTCCCCTTATTTCCAATAAAAATGCTCCCGAACTAAAAAGAAAACAAAATAAATACAATACAATAAAATTAAATTAAATTAAAAAGCCTCCTCTGATCATTTTCACATAGGAGAACTGTAACTCTCCAGTGAGATAGGCTGAATTCACGTCCCTTGAAATCAAAGAATACATTCCAAGGAACTATGGAGGTTACGAGCAAGAGTGATTTACTGAGAGACAGCTCTGAGAGGCAGGAGGGGTCCCCAACACAGGTTACCAAGGAAGGTTGATTGCATAGGACCAGCAGTTGCTGCTGGAATCTCCCATCTAATTCCAGGATCATTAAACCAGTCTGTTGCAGACCACTTTGCATTCATTTTCCAGCAAGAGCAGTTTATGCGTCAGCAAAAGTGCCAATTTCTTACCTCCCCTACACACACAGATACTGAGAACAGGACAGAGGGAGGGACAGAGGCGGGAGGTGGGACTTTCTGAGAGTGTAAGGGAGTGAGAGAGTAGGAGAGAAAAGTAAGCCACCAGGCTCCTTCTCGGTTCAACCCCGTCAGCTCCACCAGTTCCCCGGGGTAGTGTCAACTATCATCGGGCTTGCCAGTTGTAGCTGCATATCTTGGGACACGATCCCAGCCACTCCAAAAGGGGGCAACTGATATGAGGAGGACTGAGATTAGGCCCTGCAGTTTAAAAAGAGAGGTTAAAAGAGGAGGTTAGCAATCCTTCCCCGAACTGAGCATGCCTTGACCTCTCAAATGTTGTTCTTATGGAAATAGCTCCCTGGGGTGTCACTCAGAGATTAATTCTTTCCACTGTGTTTTAGGTCCAGTTTCCCCCACCCAGTGGGCAGGGATTTTGCACTTATGTGTGCCCTCCTGGACAAGCAAAATTCTGAAGTCTCATCTGTCCCACAGATGGGGACGCATATTCCTTATCTAAAATGATTTCTGTCTTCGGTATTTTTATAGACAAATTCTCACTTTCTAGGGGCTCTACCTGAGGGTGTTTAGTTTCTGGACAGGACAGAAAAGTGAGACAGATTGGGACTCAAACCTATACAGCATCGCTCTCCCTCTCTCTCTCTCTCTGATCTTTAGTAGAAATATGTCTCCCTAAAAGAAAAGCACAATATGATAGGAAAAGATCAGAATAGAGATTCGAAGAAAAAGAGGGGGGTGGGGATTTAGCTCAGCGGCACAGCACCTGCCTGGCAAGTGCAAGGTCATGAGTTCGATTCCTGGTACCAGAAAAAGAACAAACAAACAAAAAACAAAACAAACAAACAAAAAAAAACAAAACAAAAAGAGGTCTTCTCCTCACATGCACACGCTGAGTTAGTGAGATAACCTTCCCATGAGTTATGGCTTCAGCCTGGGAAGGGAAGAGTGGGGAATGTCAAGAGCTAAGACTGCCTCCTCATCAGCAGAGGACCCGACAGGAAAGGGAACTGAGGCAGAGAAGTTTCCATGTTCCTGTCCATGACCATGGAGGGGTATCCATCCAGGCTGTCCCAGTGAATCCTGTCTTAAAAAATGTAGGGACAGCAGCAATGCCAGACACTTATTTGGCTGAATATGGGAATCTCATATTCATATTAAAATATTGTTCCCTACGTAGGCTGAATTCTAACTAAAATTTACCCTAAAAGTATACAAAGTTCCCATGAAAAGCAAAGTCCACTAGGGGGAGCTCCAATGCTTCCTTTCCCCAGTGTCACTGTCTAAAGTAAACCAACAAACCATCTTGTAAACGCCAAACCATCAAACAAACAAATACAAGTACATTCTGCAACTAGTAAGTCTAAATGCAACATATAAAACAGGAATACAAGGGTCTGCCTGCAACAAGAACATGTCCCATCATAATCTTCCCATGTTCTCAATTTAGATCTACCATCATTTTAACAAAAAAGAGAAGCCATTAGCAACACAAAGAGGAAGATGCCCATTTTTGATTACCGAGATGAGTCACAGGGTCCAGTCAAAATACTTTGGGGCACCATGGAGCAAAAGCAAATTCTTACCCCCTTCCAGTTATCTTGGTGGGACCTCCAAATGATGTGGAAGAGACAAACCTCCCAACCTGCCAGAGTCAGATGCCCACACTGGAGTCCCCCCAAATTGAACAATGAATTCCAAGGAGCAATGCAGGTTAGCAGCAGAAAAAATTTTGAGAAATTGCACTTGAGGAGCAGGAGAGGTCCCCAAAGTATGTCCTCTTGCCACAGAAGTCATTTATCTAAGAATGTTTTATACAGCAAAATCATGAGCTGGGTACGAATTTATGAGGTGAATACAATATGGGCCAAGTTATAATCAACCAATAAGATGAAAAATATTAAATAACATTGATCCAATAGTGAAGTAAATCACATAGCAAGGGTACATGGAAAGAACAAAAGCCTTTTTAGAAAGGGATGGGTCCAGATGTTCTGGTCACCCACCTGGATGTCTGATGTCTAGCTGGACTCGGCAGACCAGCCGCTACCAGATACGGTATCACCCCAAGTTATTGCTCATCTCTTGGTGAGGGATGTAGGCCTGGTCCTTAAATCTTTACTTTGAGGCCTGATATTGAACAGATTCATTTCCAGACATAGTTGTGATACATACAGCTCTGATCTTCTACACTGACTCCCTCGAGGGCCCTGCCTTGTCTGACTGCCTATTAATTTCTACTTAACTTAGCTATCTATAATAACTTTATTTCATAAAAGTGCCTTTTATCCTAACAGGAATTTCTTTCTGTGTCTCTCTGTTTGCTTGAGAAAGATCAGTACATTATAATAGGTCTTGGCACTTTTATTCTTTGTTGAAACTAGCACTTTGGGTAAATCATTGAACTACTTTGAAACTATGTTATTATCAAAAAAGAAATAATACTAAAATGTATATACTTATAAATTTATGTTGAATCCTTTGATAATATTTTCTATAATATCATTTTGCATCTTGTATATATTTATATATGCTACCCTAACTTAAAGATATATCATATCTTGTATTTATAAATCATTTTATGTATCTCTATAGTATTTCAAGAAAATTTTGGGTTACATTCTGCACATTAATATATGAGAAGTATGTGATTAGATTAGTATCTTCCCATAAATAACTTACTATTCCATGGGATTTATTTTACCCAGGATTCTCTCAAATATAAGACTTTCCTAGTCAGAGAATTTTGTTGAACATTGTCCATAGTATTTCCATTATAGTATTTCTAAAGGGACATTAAACATTAAAATCAGAAGCTGAAGAAACCCATTTAACAGTGTTTAAAAGGCATAATTTTCCTTTTAAAAATGAATACATTTAAAATTGGCCAGCCATGGTAGGGCACACCTGTCACCCCAGCACTCGTGGGGCTGAGGCAGTAGGATCGCTATGAGCTCCCTGAGGCCAGGCTTGACTACAGAGTGAGTTCAAGGCCAGCCTGAACTACACAGTGAGACTCAGTCTAAAAAACAACCCCAAAAGTTTATACTTTTAAAATTATACAAACATATTCACAGGTTGTGTGCTAACAACTATTAACTTCTTAGGAGAAGAGATTTGAAAATAGATGGCCTAGGACTCATTAAATAACATTTTATTCATTGATATGAAGTGTCATATTACCATAACATGTCTGAATCATACACATAAATAAATGCCAAATTTACTCAAAAGTGTTTTGAGAAACCTCTACCAGCTACTTATGAGAAAGTTTTAGAGTAGGGCAAAGAATTAGAGGGAAACTGCCTCACAGTGCCGGCAGGGAGCTGGCGACACGCCGCTGGTATGCGGGAAGGCACAGGCGTCTGTCTCCAGCAGTACCCGTCTTTCGAATGCGTGTATCTCTGGAGAAGTGTCAGGAAATGCCATTGCCCCCAAGGCGCAGAAAATATCTCATTATTCTGAAGGAAATCCTGGGTGAAATGCCTCAATCTCTGTTCACGTTGGATGAAGAAAGGGAGCTTGAGAGCATAATTCTGTACCAATGAAACTAAAATTCTATTATTCAAGAAAGTATAAGAAAATTCTGCACAAAGTCTACCAGAGATGCAAGGCAGAATTTGGCTACCTATGATGAAGGACCGTACAAAACAAAGAAATCCCAGTCTTGAAAGCAGGCATTCATGGACTCCCTAAAAGCAAAACTAAGAAACAGACTTTTAAAAAGGATCTCCCGGTAATGAGCAACACACTGCATAACCGGAGAAGAGGAAAGCCATGCAACAAGCACCCCTGTGTTTCAAACCTCTAGAAATGGCTCAAAGCTGAGGATGGAACTTTTGCATTAGTAAAAACTCCTCAGCATGTCGCCACCGAGCTGCAAAAAGCCATTAGAGAAATTGGAAGCTGGTGGTAGACAAAAGACACACTCCAATTCAGTTCAACTCCTTGTTTTAGCATTCCAATCTCATTCTAAATTATTGAAATATTATAGCTAGGCTTAAATTATGCATACCTCAGTCACTTTGAGATTATGTAGGACACTTAATATTCAATAAAGTTAAACATCACACAGGTACAAGCAAACACCCAAATATGAAAACAAGGTGGAGATTAAATATCATCTAGAGAAAATTAAAAAATCACACACAGAAGTGGCCAACAAGTTGGAGCTCTCAGAGCGAAAGAGATTTTAAAAATAAACACAAGAAATTTTAGAGAAGACCACGGAAAAGGAGGTGGCAAGCATAACAAAATTCAAGCAATCACCCTAATTAGAGCAGCACAGCAAGTGTTTTCATGACCAATCAGGGCATATTCCCATCTTCTAATGTGGATGTGAAATGCTACAAAATTTAAACCAAATGGAGATCTTTAGGTTCTTGTGAGTTTATAAAACAAAACCAGATGCAGTTTAGACATAAGTAAACACAGGACTAAAAGAAAAACCATGCTACTACAGTATTTGTTCTGGATTGAATCCTGTATTTTTTTAAGAATGTTGATACAATTTAAAACATCAGTGTTATATATTTTCACCCAGGAATAATAATTGTTTAATGAGAAGCAAAAGTGAAGATAACATGACCTTGTTTTTCAGATATGTATGGACAGGGATCTGGGCAATAATGCTATGTGGGTTTTCCTTCTGATTATTATTTATTACCAGAGAAGCTACGTTGAACCTAACAACATGTGATGGAAGGAGATTAGGGCATTTGAAGACAAAAATTTCAAAACAGAAGAAAAAGAGTAAGTTTTGCAACTCCCAGACACAAGGAACGTGGGTATGCTGTGAGTAGACAAGGAGATAAGCCCGGACTTTGAAAGGGACAAGGGAAGTTCTCTTCTAAGGGGACAGACGTGTGTCAACAACAGCAAGAAAGTGAAAGGAGCTTTACAGAAACATGCAACAGGAGTTTCATGCTGAGAAGTGGGACTGATTGAAAAATGGGAACACAAGATGGACATGGCAAGAATGGAGATGATTTAATTGATTTGATAAACCTAGAAAATAAATGTGTGAAAATGGAAGTCAAGGAATAAAAGAGTTCTGACTTAACTGAGCTTATCTGAACTATCAAAACATAGATGGTTTTAAAGAAATGTAATTGTTAGCTTCAGGAAAGGCTGTGAGTTACCACTGAAATTCCAAGAGTATTTACTTGTGATGTATAGCTCTAGAGCATACACTCAAGTTTGAAAGACTAAAGTCAGTGTTTTGACTGTTTGCTAGTCAAGGGTGTTAAGCGAAGGGACGCAAGTTTAAGACAACTAAATGAGTGTTGACTCCATGGGAGGGATTACCGCAAGTAGATTACAGGTAGATGTAAGAATCTCTGCGATGCATGGAATATTCTCTAGTGAAATAATGTCATGGATTAACGTTAGAAATGGGCATCCAGTTCCTTTTTAGTAAGATGGAAAACTTGTTAAATGGATCTGCTGGGATGTTTGTGGCTGCCAGTAGCAGTAAATTTGGGTATTTACAGTCAGTAAGGACATTGACATCTTCCAAGAATAATTTCATAGGCAAGATACACTCAAGGGTAGTTTGAATTTGTGGATGAATAAGAGAACCAAAAAAAGCTATTTCCTATCAATGTTCTTTTCTGACATTTTCTATGGGTTGGATTGAAATATTAATCCTGTATAGTTACAAATTGGCCACAGTTAGCAACATTTATGTTCGCATTTTTGGTTACATATCTTAAGGAACAGCTAAATCTTGTAGTAAGTGTATGTTACTAAATATTGCGTATCTATGCTACAATACGTGCATACCATTCATGTTCCCAGCCGAAATGTGTGCAATACATTCTCAGCGATATTTGGCAGTTTCTGTCTCTCTAACATTATGATTTGAAGTGGTATAAAGTTACAGTTTAAATGTTTGTTTTCCTGATGACAGTTGACATCAGTAACTTTTTTTAATGTTCTGGTTCATATATTTTTGAGACATATTTTTTAGATGTATGTACATTTTGGAAGGATATTTATCCCCCTAATTTTTAATGAAGAGCTCTTTTTGGATACAAATGATTTGCCAAATATTTGCCATATTTTAGCAGAAATTTTGTGCTGTAAAGATATAGGGATGCTATTTATGAAGATATTTAAATAAGCTAGAGTTGCTACATAAATCCTGATTTTACATTACATGAATGGCTCACCGTAAGATCCCATTTAAGTTAAATCAATAAATAAACATCTAATTGAAAGAAAAATATAAAATCTGGTTATAATTCTACACACTAACATTTACATTTCCTAAATATATAATAACATACTGTACATTTTCACAAAATCTCATTATTCTAATTTAAAAATAAGCTATGCTTTGAAGACAATATGTATTTTGTTCATATATTGAAAATATCTATGTTTCTTTATACAAACACTTATAAAGTTCATAGTTAATCTTTTTGTGATTAGCTGATGAACATCCTAAAAACTAAACATTTAAATTTCTGACACAACATTAATTATAGTTTTTCCAATAAGAAGGCTTTATTTTATTTACACATTAGATTTCTTTTTTTTATTTATACATTAGATTTCAATTGCTTTTATTGCTGTTATCATTTTTACTTTTAAGGAATATCTAGTATTGCATTATGTTTCTGAGTTGCAATTTCAAAGTGTGAACTTGACAGTTCTTTTCTTACAGGCTAATCACACTGTGAGAAAGTACTTAAACCTAGGAAACTAGCAAAATGTACTATGATTTCTAGAAACAAATTAAGCAGTTACAAGTCTTCAGGGATAAAATTGTCAGTGAAACACTGTTTCTCAAAGGAAAAAAAAGATAAAGAAAAAATGGAATCAAAACAAAAAGGAAAGAATTTTACACACACAGCCCCAGACAACATGCTGCCTCTGGCCCCCAAGGAACTTCATAGAAAATATGATTAAATGGAGCTAAATACTTGCTAACCCCGAGTGACCCCATAGTAGTAGTAAAAATCACAGGACAACCAATTACTCCAAGTTTGTGCGGATGCTGTGTAAAGAAGCCTGCTGCACTGCCTATCACACAGAAGTATAGAAAATGATGTAGAGTGCATAATAATTGATAATAAAATGTTACTGTTAATAAACTGTCGCTGGTTTATGTATTTACTGTTAGAACCCTTTATTACTACTTTAGGGTACATTACTTGTACTTAAACAGAAAACGAAAGGTCTAGTATAGAATAATATATTTGGCTGGCAGTAGCCCTTCACTTCTCATATTTACTGCATTTCTTGTTCACATTATTTTCTCTTGTACCTGATTTAATATTATGTTGTGTTGTTCATCGTGTCCCTAGAAGAAATAGACTACAGCATTATATGTGGATGTGCATCGAACTGTACCATGAGGCTTATGAAACACACAGTAAATATTTGCACAAGGATGAAACTGCCTAGCCACAAAGAACATGTCTGTCATTACAACAGGCATGCTTGGTTTGCATTATTACTTATGGAGCTACCCTTCATAATTATGGGAATTCAAGCAAAACTTTCATTCCTTATATGTCGGTATAGTGGAGAGAACTATAAGTAAAAATCTGGGATATAATTCTTTCCCTGGCACTACCAGTTGTGTGATAATAAACAATATACACTACATAACTGCTAACAATCTTGGTTTCTGTGCTGCTAATTAGGAAGTGAAGGTTAGTTTTGTATTCAACAAAAAATTCAAATATTGTATATTTCTATACTTTATTCTCATATAGGATAAGATATAGTATTCTTATAAATATTGTTGAACTGTCATTCAAATACGCAGTAATTGGAAGGATGTTTATAATTGGACATGCTGTAATTAGTTCTATAAGTATTGAAACACTCTCAACACAAGTTTACCAATTTAGACTATTTAGATCAGTTTGAGGTCCTTTGCATTACTTACGAGACTCTTGATCTTCTTCTATTAGTTGACTTATGTATTATTTCTACATAGTTAGTTGGTAATCTTTGTAGATACACCATAATGAACTGAGCTATATTTTCTCTTCCCTATATCTTCAGATGAAGAAAGTAATGTTTATCTTGTTTAGTTTTATCTAATTTGTGGAATTACATTGTCAAATCAGCTGTGCTTAATCAGAAAGGATATCCAGAGGCGAGCTTCAGTAAATAACTTCAAGGACACAAGGAATTAGAACACAGGAAGCCGGAATTTGCCTGTCATACTGAGGGCAACTCCCAGGTTATTCTTCCTCAGGCTGTGCACACGCTTCTGGCCCAGGCAAATGCGGATGGTGGGTAATTATTGAAGATATTCTTACATAGCAGTGAGGATTTAACTTAACAAGCAGATCCACGGCTTTATTTCAGGGAGCCATTTAATCTCAGCAGAGAATAGTGACTCTGACGTCACAGGCTCTGTTCCCTCTAACCAGGAGATCCACTGAGGAAGTTTTCCAAGTGAGATTCCCAGTTTTCTTCCTGTAGCGATGTAATAAGGAAGACTAGACATGGCTCCTTGTCTTGGCTCATTACCCTAGTGCTGTCTTCTTGGTGAAGGACAGCAGACCCGCTGTTTGACTCATTCTTTCCTGACCTCAACTTTAGAATTCTTTCCATCTACTCAGACTCATATGCTCAGGGTCATCTGGTTGCTGATGATTAAATTAAGAAAGCATTTATTTTGGTAGAAAGGAAAGAAGATTACTTTGAAGCTATCTCTAAGGAGACGGCGAGGTCTGTCTGCCTCACGTCCCCATCTCACTGTGCACAGGTGGGCCAAGAGCCCTTCGTAGTAAGCAACAGAAGGAAGGGCAGCGCAGGCAGACGGTGCGGAGCCGCGCGCTTGCTCTCTCACTTCCGGCCATCTTTAGCGCACTTCCTATGAGCTGCCCCCTTTGGCCACAAGGCGAGCAAAGTTACCCTTACAAGTGGGTAACAGTCGGGCTGCTTTCACCGTCCCTGCGCTAATCTTGTGCAGTGGAGTACAGACAGGGTACTCATCCACTGGGGCACACAGACTGGCAAAGGCGAGGCAAGGCCCTGTCCTCAGACTTGGTGTCATGCCCGTAAGAGTGAAACGCAACACCAAGAAGAACCTGTTGCTCCTGCTGCAAGGCTCGTGCCCGTGGAGGGGGCCTCTGACCCCGCTTTGGTGCTAGGCACAGCCCTGGCTTCAGTGGTGAAAGCACTGCGCATCCCTCTCCTGACCCGAGGCCACACAGTATGGACAGAGGCGTGGTCTACATAGGCGAAGAAAAGGGACGTGGGTGATTCACTGCTTCAGTCTGTTACATACGCCTCATTTCGCCGTGGTGAGGCCCAGTGCCAGGGAAAGTCTCACGGTGTGGGAACAGGCGAGGGTCCCTGATGAGACATCTGCGCTTCTTCTGGCCCCACGTGGGGCCTGTAGGCCCAGTGGTGATGAAATTCTCTCTTTTGGCACTCCCCATGCTGAACAACATACCCGCTGCTGATGTGCAGCAAGGTTAGGGTTGGGTGCTCCCTAGTGCTGAATAATTTCAGTCCACAAATCACAGACATGGAATAAGCCTGATGTACAGTGCCATGAGCTAAGAGGACAGCAGTGACCATAGGCTCAGGAACAGTGATAAACAGCTTGCTTAGGGTTTCTGTAAGGCCAGGCATAAAAACATCTACACTGAAAACCAGGCAAATACTAACTTTTCAGTATATGGATGCTTTTACATGCCAAGGAGCAACCACTTTCAGTCAACCATGTTTTCACTTCCTGAACAAAATAAGACTCCAGAAACTTACCACAGTTTCACTATTGTTCAGAATCTCTTGCACAGATATTTCAAAATAACTACTCTGAGGAAAAACAGAAAACTTCAAAAAGCACAGTATAACAATAAGTTATGCCAGGGATATAGCTTAGTGATGCAAGTGCCTGCCTGGCAAGCGCAAGGTTGTGAGTTCAATTCCCGGTAGTAAAAAAAAAAAAAACCCAAAAAACAAAAAGCACCACAAAAAGAAAAACAATAAGTTATATGTCAAAGAAATTTAACAGAGACATTGAAATAATTTTTAAAAAGTCAAGCAAAAATTCTGAGGCTTTAATTATACTACATAAAATAAGAAGCACAAGACTCCAAAAATACGATCAGCTAAGCGGAAGAACTGGTGTGCTAGAAGATAGGCTATTTGAAAATATACAGCTGGAAGAGGAAGATGTACCACAGCACAGAAGTTATAATAAAATACTCCTGGGGAGACAATGTCCTAAGCACAAAGGAAGCCATCAGAAGAGGGGGAAAGAAAGGAACACGAGCAACCAGTAAGCACGTTACAAAATGCGAGTAGTAACACCTTATTTATCAACCATCACCTTAAACATAAATTGATTAATTCACCCAGACAAAGAGTTACACAATGGGAAAAAAATGAACCTTATGTTATTTTTAACAAACTCACTTTACCTGTAAGGACACACACCACAACCACCACAACCCCCACCCCTGCTGCCACTGCCATCACTCACCCGCACCCACAGACGCAAGGGGAAGAGATGGTGATATGGGTTGAGAATAGTGTGTGTAGGTTGGATACAGTTTATACAGGTTCATGTATTGGGAGCTTAGTCTTCCCATCAAATATGGCAAAGCTTAGATATGATAGGACCTTTAAGCAGGTGGCCCTAGAATAAGATACTTAGGATACTGAGGGTCCATTTGCCTTGGAAGTGAGTAAAGTAGTTCTTATAGGGTACCAGTCAGAACTCTTTCTTATTCTTCAGCTTGCTGTCTCATTCTGGGATCTCCTGAGCATTTTATGCTGCTCTGATGCCACACACCATGACATAACGCAGTCAGAGGAAATCTCAAGGGAGAGGACGGCATCAAGCTGTCCATATTTCAGTTTTCAAGGCTATGGGCTATATAAAGTGATTTTCATTATAACTTACATAGAGCAAAGTATCCTTTATGGTAACGAAAGTGGATGAACACAAAGGTAGAGATCCCATGCAAATGGAAGAACAGAAAATTAAATAGACTTTAAATAAAAAGTAGTGGGTCATTTCTGTGACTGTACCTGGCACTGTGGTACAAGACCATTTGGGAATGGCTTGTGGGAAGAGTTTGGAAAAGTTTGGAGATGCTGGCAGAAAAAAATAGTGCAGGAACGTCCTAGGCTGCTCTGTATGGGAGATTCTGCTCAGAGCTCAGAAGGCCAGAAGGCTGATGGAAATCCTGCCAATAAAGACCAGGCTTGGGAAGTTTCTGTTAGGAAGAAGGACTACATTAGCTGTTATAGTCCAGACAGTGGGAACTATGACTTGCCA